GAGTGGGCAGGCCTGAGGCTGGCATGTGGGTTGGTTTGCCTATCTCTTCTCCCTTCCAGCTTGGGCGCCCTGACCCCAAAGGAGAGGTTTGTCCATTACCTGCTACAGCACACGTCTGGGATGGAGCGGGAGTCCTTGCAAGGATTTTTTCTTTAAAGCACAGGGAACTACTTGAGATTTTTCTCTTAAGAACGGAGAACGGAAAGCAGATTCCAAATCTCTTAGGCACCTGTGATAATGGTGGTGCTCAGTTAAATCAGAGACACCTCTCATTTCTCCTCCAGGCCGCCGTGTTGATGTGAGGTGACTTGGGGCCCGCCCTGGGGTGGAGGGGGAAGAACTGAGGTTCACGTGGAGGGGGATCTGTGGGTGAGGTCCGGGGCAGCTGGTTTATGGTGCCGGGACAGAGGGCAGGGCTTTCTGGACGGCCACGCCATGGGCCTGCTGCTGCCGTTTCCTTCTGCAGAATTAACCGAGCCTACCATGCCGAAGTAAAGTCCCCTTTGCTTCTGAGAGTTACTGTTCGTGTTTTTTTAAGGCCGTGACTAACTCGCTCTTATACCCCCAGAAACTCCCTCTGTTCACGCAGCGGCTGCTTTGCACACAATTGCACCCTCACTGTGAGAAGGCGTGACCCCCCTGGAAACGTGAGCGGGATGCTGAACACAGGGGCGTGAAAATGCAGGACTGGCTTTTTCTTCTCTCTTTCTTCAGAGTCTCTGCAGGCTTGTTTGCTTTCCTAGGCCTTCCCTATGGTTCGGACACCGTGGCGTCCACTGGATGGTCTACATTCTTACCCCGTCCAGTGAGTAATAACCCGCCCTGCCCACATGCTGGCCACACTCTCACTTCTCCCCAAAGCCAAGCCCACAGATAGATGAACGGCATGGACTCAGCCAGGAAATGATATCATCTCAGAGAGAGGCAAGGGGCAGTTTGCTAATGTCTAGCACAACGGGGGCGTTCAGTGTGAAATGGTCGCCATTTCCTGTGTGTGTGTGTGTGTGTGCATGTGCATGCACGTGTGTGTACGTGTGTGTTTGAGCGAGAGATGTCTATAGTAAATGAATTCCTGAAGCAACCAAGGGGAACCTTGACTACAATTGACTGCAAATAGCAACAGCTTAAAATTCTTTAAATGGTCTTAACGCCATGCAAAAAATGCCCGCATAGCATGAGCCCTCCAGGTGACAGTGTGCCGTAGACTGAGCCTACAACAGGGCACACTCCTAATTTGGACAGCAGGCTCTCAGATGCATCTGGTCTCCATCAATCACCCAGAACACGAATCCCGAAGAGCAGGAGAGTAAGCTCTCGTGTTAGCCATTAGTCAGTGTTCACAAATCCAGCTAATACGCATGCTTAAGAGGTTTAGGTTGTAGACCAGGGACTGTTGGTCAGAGAACTGCAGAACTAAAAGGGACCTTGACAGTGATCTTTGTTCAACTCCCCAGATGTGCTGATGAGGTAACAGAGATGTCGGCAAGGGGACAGGGGTCCCCACAATCTCAGGCTGGGACCCGTAGAGCACAACCAGATAGTCCCACTCACCTTAACTGTAGGCCAGAGACACCCCTGCGTACACACACACTGAGGCCTGAACCCCAAAGTGATAAATTTCTGAAGCCCCAATTGGGTTAGGACTGTGTATTGAGCTTCAGTCTCTTCAAATTAACCTTTGGCTCTCACCAGTAAACCCCCAGTTGTGTTTTTGAAGAAAAAGTCAGGTCCTAATTACCAGGTGAAGCAAAAGACACTGCCGGCTAAAGACCCCGAACAGGTGCCCTTTCTGTGTGCAGAGTCAACACGTCTATTCCAGGTTTACAGTGGGGTGAGGGGTGGCGGTTGGAAGGGCAGGGCTGTGCTCATGGGCGGTAAGACTTTGTAGCAGCTTTGCCTGATCCACATGTTTTCTGCGTGCTATTTGACCCCACCTTTGAAAAGTAACATTCAAGCAACTTCAAAATAACTGGCCACCCCCCACGAAGAGGAGCCCAACCTCCTATTCCCTCTCAGCGTCTCCTTTGGCGACCACATTATAGTTTGTCGAACACTTTGCCCACTTGTATTTAGTTCCAGCTCCCTAGAGGAGGGCTCGTCTTTGATTTTGTTCATCAGGGTTTTGGCCTCATTTGTCCTCAGGGAGAGGGTTACGTACATGGGGGATGTTCCCACTCTCAGTCAAGGGCCATTGCAATCCCTTTATACTACGGTGATTTAACACAACTGGGGAAGCGTCCATGCACACACCATCACCTCTTCCATTTGGTCAAGTGTGCACTTTGGTGCTGTGACTTGTTTATTCCTGCTGTGTGCAGAGTTTCTGCCAGGTAAGCGAGTAAAGTGCAAAAGAGTGCTTTCAAAGGGCATTTTTAACAATACAGAAAGGGTGCCACACACAGGACTCCCACAATCAAAGCCAAAAGACCGTACAATCACTCTGCAAGGCCAACACTTGCGGCCATTTTTACACAAAGACCATGTATGCTCTTGGTAGTAGAGCTCTCCCCACCTCTGTGTGCTGTGTCCATGAAACTAGAAAGACATACACGCACAGAACACACACATGAGCACACACACATGCACACACACAAACACACACACTCAAGGGTGCATTGTAGCAAAGTCGAAAGCAGACTTTGGTCAGACAGGCTTTGAATAGCAGCTCTACCACTTTCTTGCTGTGTGCCATTGGGTAAGTTACTTAGCCTCTCTGAGCCTCCGTGTCCTCATCTCTACAAGGGGTTTGCAAACACTTCCCACAGCGTGTGGCTACAATGTTGGGATGGTTCAATGTCTTTCAAGTGCCTAATCTAATGCCCGGCCCATGGCAGCCACTGGATCAGTGGTTCTCAACCTTCTGGCTCTTTCAATACAGTTCCTCATGTTGTGACCCAACCATAAAATTATTTTCGTTGCTACTTCATAACTGTAATGTTGCTACTGTTATGAATCATAATGTAAATATCTGATATGTAGGATGGTCTTGGGCGACCCCTGTGAAAGGGTCGTTCGACCGCCAAAGGGGTTGCGACCCACAGGTTGAGAACCGCTGCACTGGATAAATGACAGGGAAGCCTCTCTGCCAGATCTGGCTGTCAGGTGTAGAATTTCATCACACCACTCTAAAGAAAGTACCAAGTCATAGAGGGTGGATACCCAAATGAATGACATCCATGAACAGTTGGATCAGGAAGCTTTTAACTTGACAGAATGAGAAAGTCCCAGTTATCTACCAATTTCTTAAAGCACATCTCTTCAGGCTGCCATGATCCCGTGGTAAGAAACCATTGCCCACACCTGGACAAACGTCGCTTCCCAAGCGCCTGTTTATTACTGCGGGGACACAGGATGTCACCAGCGAGCCGCTGCTCCAGCCCCACGGAGGCACTAACCCACACCTGCCTTGGACAGGAAGGGCCTCATCAAAGTTGATCTTACCTGGCTGCTTCCCCAGAGCAATGCCCAACTTTAGAGCCTCCAAGTTTGGCAGGGGAGGGGGTGCTGCCTGTGCTCCAGGCAAGGGAGAGCTGTCTCCCACGGTACCAGGGGTCAAGGATGGGGTGGGTATCATTTTCCCTGGAAGTCTCCTCTAGTCCTGGGATCTTTTGATAAATCCACCTGTGTGATAGTCACGTGAATTGCCCGCTCCCCTCCCCCCCAAAGGAGGCACTGAGCAGCGGAGGCCCATGACCATCCAGGTCCCAATGCTTGGGTGTGGCCCAAGTCTGCTAAGTCTGAACCAGTCCAAAGACCAGCCAATTAGGGAAAAGGCTGAGGCTCACACGGGTTGGTTGGCCTAGTACATATTTTTCCCTTTCAGGGAAAAATCCATTTAAAGTCTTCCTCTCTAAACATATGACTAGCCATTCCCCCACTTTCCTTCACTGAGGTTCTCGCCTCACCGAGCAATTATGTATCGCGTGTTGGTTACTGTTTGCCTTGAAACAATCACCTTTGTGTTCCAATTGGTGTTGGCAATAGCAGGTACTGGATAAAGAAACGAGCAAGGAAAAGGAATGCTTTCAAAATAAAGGAATGCCCAAACGTAAAGGCAAAATATTTGAAATACTTCTTTTAAGTATTATTTTTTAAAATGGCATTAATGGCACTTAAACTGCAAACAAAAACGACTCAGTTTTCTTGTACAAGGGTTGGTTGAGGGGTTAATTTTCCTTCTTGTTTGGAGATAGCAAGATTGGCTCCTGTAACTATGTCTACCCTAAGACACCCAAAGGGACAAAAAGCCCTGAGATGGAATGATGCCATGGTCCCCCTTGGTGTGTCTCAGACATGCAGGATGCCTATTTTTATAAAAATTTAGGGTCAGCTAGACAGAACAGCAAGCCACTGGCATCATGCAAGGCAATTAGTTTTGGTACTTTCTCCCCCCTCTTATCAAAACAGGTTACAACCGAAGTTCCACTAGAAAAGTGAACGTGAACATTTCAAAACCAGTTTATTTCACCATTGCACCCACTGAGGAAAATGCATGATTCTTTGCCTGTAACCACGCAGCGGTTGAGGTTGAAGTTTCACCAAAGCCTGCCAGTCCGTTTGGACTACCTACCCCCGTGAGAAAGACCAAGTTCAGTAGGCTTCTGGCCTTGGTTGAGGTGATATCCACAGTGTGATGTTTGTGATTATTTTTCTTCTTTTGTGATGAGGAAAGCAACTGCACCTTTGAATACCTGTGCTCTGATCCGCTTCCAACAAATTCCGGGAGCTCTCAGGCCCCGCACACACTCATTGGAGCTGAGAAGGGCTAGGGATGCTCTGCGTGGCTTGGATCAGAATTCAAGCTCAGAGCAACACGCCCAAATGTCAACTCAAACCCTCCTTACCGGTCCCAGGTCGCCCCCAATCCGGTCCCCTGCTGGGTGTGCATACATCACGGACGGCAGGCTCAGGAAGTGAGACTCCGTGTAAAAGACACACCTGCTTCTCTCAGAAGGCTGGTCTAGGGAATAGCTGCCCTTGTCTATGTGCCCTCCAGGGCGGCGCTGCCCAGGGGTACAGCACCACCGGCCACTCGACCTTGACACTTGGTGGCCGTGACCTCCGACGCGTGCCAATGCTCCCTGGGCGTCCCGCGGTCGCTCATCAGAAGCGGAGTCCTTGTTCTTTGATCCCTTTTGGCAGAGCAAACTTCCTCAGTCCTTTATGGCACAGTGAAATATATTCTCCAATGCTATGTAATTTTGGACTAAGGAGAAGTCTGTTTAAGGCACGTGTCTCGGGGTGAATATAAAAAACACACAGCGCTTCCTTGAGCCCCGTGTCCGGAACCTTTAGCTCCTGCTTTCCAGCAACGCGTTGTTCTCGTGTTCCCTGTCTTTGGTGTCCGCGGGGACCATGCCGTTCTCCACCCCGGCGGGCGGCTGCGCGCAGTGGGTCAGCATGGCCGTGCTGGAGTGGTCCGAGTTGCACATCTTCTCCGTCTCCTCCTCTCTCTTCTCCTCGTCCAGGGAGTAGTTGCGGAAGGTCTTGTAGATCTTCTGCACGTCCTCGGGCAAGGCCTTCTTGGTGTCCTTGTTTTTCCTCTTGGTGAGCTTGGCGCTGGACCCGAACTTGTTGATGATGTTGTCCTCGGAGGCCCCCTGCGCGTGCTTGTGCAGCGGCTCGGGCCCGCGGAGGCGCAGGTTGTTGGGCCGGTTGTTGATGCTCTCCTGGGAGGAGGCCTTGCCACGGCCCGCGTCCAGCGCCGCGAACACGGAGCGCTTCTCGGGGGAGAGCATGTCGAGCGAGTGCGCGCGCTGGTCCAGGCCCAGGCGCCGGCGCTCCATGCTGCGCAGCGTGGCCGCGCGCTGCAGCTTGTCGTGGATCTCCACGCTCAGCCGCCGCCGCGTCTCCCGGAACTCGGCCGTCACGTTGGCCTTCCACTCGGCCGCGTGGGCCTTGATCTCCCCCACCTGGCGGGACACAGAAAGGGCAACAGCCCGCTGAGAGATCGCGCTCTGCCCTGCGTCCCCCAGCGCCCCCCAGCGCCCCCCGCCCTTGGGAGTCCCCCACGGGAAGGCCCAGAGGGGGCGCAGCAAACGCCCAGGGCCAGGGGTGGATGCTGCCTCTGCCCGAGTCTCTCTCGCCTAAGTACCCGTCTCTAATGGGCTCCTGGCTGATGTGTCTCAGGGAGGGGCCGGTGCTGGGGAGCAAGGGAGGCTTGGGATTTGGAGATGGGCCTTGGGGGAGAGGCAGGTGGCACTGGGGGGGAGAGGGCAGTGCTGAGTTGGACAGGCCTGCAGGGTTCCCGTGATGTGCCCACCGCCTTTTCACAGGATGGTCTCATTCCTGGGACATTACTGGGGTAGTCACATCTAGCTGATGGTTTTTAGTGTTATGTCAGAGAAAGACGTGCACTAGCTCAGTCCTGGGCACGGAGCAGATGTTCAGAAGGTCCTTTGCTCTTCCTCGTCCCTCCGACGCCTCTCTGGGGAGGGTGACCAGCCTGTCCCGAGTCAGCCCGGGACTGTCCTGGTTTTAAAAGGGAGAGTCCTGTATCCTAGGTCCGCCCTCAGCCCTGGGCAAGCTGGGACTGTGGTCGCCCTGCATGTGGGCCATGCTGTGGCCATGTGCTGTCAGGCTCATCCTGGTTTAAGAAGACCCGCCCCCAGGGCACCGGTAACCCAATTTCCCCAGTGAGGGAGCAGGAAGGGGGCGAGCTCAGAGTCCAGTTCTGCATGAAGCTCATTATCAGATCTCTGGGCTCTTACTCAGCACGGCAAATAGCACAAGTCCCATGTTTTCCTAGACGGATGAGGAACTCAGATTTGGGCACTGAGGAAAGTCAGTGTGTATGTGGTACTTTCTCTTTCCTTATAGCTGATTGTTAGCAGGCCAGTTAGCTACCTGGGGGGTCAGACTGGGCGGAGACTGCATTGCTAGGGTTCTGGAGGCCAGGAGAACGACATTGTGTCCAGGAGTGAGAGGGCAAGTTTCTGCACTCAGCAACCTTCTCCTGGACCCTTGCATACAGAATGGCTGTACCCGGGAAGTACACAGCTTTCTTCAGGAGGCTGCCCCTATTTATTTATTTATCTATCTATCTATCTATCTATCATCCATCTATTTATTTTAATCTCCCTTCCTTTCTTTACTTCTTCTCGTCTCCTTCCCTTGCCTCCTCCGTTCTTATTTCTTTCCCCCTCTTCTTAGAAGAACTACACGAACTTCTGTTTTTTAAACTCACAAAGAATCTACCTTTCCTTCCCAGACTTTCCTTTTCTCGCCTTTGTGTAGGCTTGCACGCAGGTTTAGCTGCGGGAGTAAAGGCTGCGTGCTCTGGGGTATACTTCTTTCTACAGATGGGACCACCAGGGGGGCGTACACGTGAAAGGGGCCCCTTGGGTTCGCTTCCCCGGGGCTGGCCGCTGCTCAGTGATTTCAGTCTCACTCGGAATCAGGGAAGATTCATGATGTTCAAGTGCATTTCCATTCAGGCCCTGTGACCTGAGGGACAGGCGGGCTTTCTGAAGCATTTTATGATTTTTCGAAGCTCCCCATACATTTGCTGATAGGGGGCAATTGCACACCTCCCTTGACCACAGTCCACCTCTGCTGACTAGTTCTATATTTTCCTTTTCATTCCATTTTTTAAAACGAAGTTGCTGTTTACTATTCTTTGCAGGATCTGTGGGCTGGTGACTGAGTCACCAGATTTCCTCACCTGCCAAAAAAGGATCCGCAAGTAATTGCTATTCAATTTCACTTGGCTTTTAGGTAATGATCCCAAACAAGGAAGCCTTGTGAGCCCTCCGTTGAGTAAGAAACACTCCAGCCCACAGAATAGAGAGAGGAGATTCTTGACACGAGCTCATCTAATCTCAGGAACATTCGTAGAATCTGGAAGGGGTCCTACCTCTTCTTTTGTCTTTTTGGACAGAACCCGTAGCCAATCTCCGATCATACTGAGGACCGCTGCAAAGTAGGCAAGGCCAACAAGGATCCAAAACCACACGAGGGGCTTATACCACTCCCGGTAATTGATGCCAGCATTTCCCCCTGAAAACAAGGAAACGTTACTGGAAGCAGGGTCTTTGCGGAGCAAACATATTCTGGTCCATGTAGCGGAGATGCCAGCCCGTCACCATCTAACACTAAGACGTTAGGCCTGCTGTATAGGAGATGTGGTGGGGGTTGGAAGACAAGGAAAAGATGTTCCTGTTCCTAAAGGAGCCTGACTTGTGGCTGAACTCCCTGTGATTCTTGACCACTAACCGTAGTACCCACAGCAGAAATATGCCCGTGGCCAACTTGATCCACCTATTCTCTCCCTGAGCTTGACAGTGAATGACTAGAGCTAGAGGACAACAGATCAGGCCCAGTTGTCAATTGTTTTTTCTTAAACGTCTTTAAATGTAATACAAATAAAAAAACACACCATTAAATCATCCCTCATGGTTTGGAAGTCATGAAACCGTTTCCTTCTTAAGCGCACACGCATCTACCAAGAGCTAAGTGCAAATTTAGACTTTATGGCATTCCTGACACTTTGATGCAAGCCGTAGTGATTTAATGCTGAGGCTGGTGTTTACATGATGCTAATCCAAAGGGTCAATTAAACTGAGTAATTAGAAGCACCACAGCCAGCTAGAACTAAATGGGACCTTTAAGGCCAGCTAGTCAATCCCTTTGTTATAAATAGAGATTACAGGAAAAATCCATCAACCCAAATGGGCCAGTTGCCTGATTGCATCGAATGGTTGTTGCGTTGAACCGACCAGTCATTTGTTCCAAATAATAAGCCTATTTATTCTAGCCTTCCTTCAGGCACTGCCAAAGGCAACCAAGCAAAATAGGTTCCAAGCCCAGCCCCCCCACTGAAAGAAGTGGGGACATTCCATGAAATAACTGATGTCAGCCTCGTTCTCACTCTGTGAGATGTGTTACCCAATGAACCAGGCAGGTGGTGATTCCTGAAACAACTGACATTAGCTCTGTACCGGTAGTTATGCTATTACATGATGAGTGATAACTAGTCTTTCTCACTGGGTCATGGTTGTAACCTCATCTAGATCGCTGAGTCCATACTGAACTCTTTACGGTATTATAGCAGCAGCGGGCCAGGTGCTATGGCCTGTGGTTCTTCTCAATGCAACCAAACCCACTTAAAAAATGTTTTTCACCCCGCCAGTGTGGTTCAGTGGTTTGGTGTCAATGCACAACCCAGGAGATCATGGTTCGATTCCCGGTCAGGGCACATGCTTGCGTTGCGGGCTCGATCTCCTACTGTAGGGGGCGTGCAGGAGGCAGCTAAATGATGATTCTCATCATTGATGTTTCTATCTCCCTCTCCCTCTCCCTCCCTCTCTCTGAAATCAATAAAAATATATTCAAATATTTTTTTTCCAATCATGGCTTCTTTTCAATATTATTTTGCATTGGTTTCAGGCGTATAGCTTAATGGTCACACAATCATGTACTTTACTGTGTTCCCTTCAATATTTCTAATACCCAACTGATACCCATACATAGTTACTGCAATATTATTGACTGTATTCCCTATGCTGTACTTTACATCCCGGTGACTCTTTTCTACCAATTTGTTCTTCTTAACACCTTCACCTCTTTCTCCCAGTCCTCTGGCAACCCATTTTTCAGTGCAGCCCATGCGATCTCAACAGCCACTGCCATTTATTTAAATTAGAATTCCAAACATTGCTAAAGGGCTCCAGATCCCCTCTGTTGGGTGGTTTGGTTTAGCTGGCTTTATTTTTCCTCTTTATGTATACACACACACACACACACACACACACACACACACACACGCCCTGCACAGCTTTCTCTAGGATGCTACTGGAGTTCATGCAACATTAAGTGGTTTTTGAGCTTTCTCCTTGGGGCTATTATCTGAGAGCAAATATTTACCTTAGCCAGTCCAGTCACCATCATCCAACAGGATTGTCACTAGGGTGCGCTATCGAGCAGCACATTAATCACCTTTCTCCCTCTTTATCAGCGGCTTGTCCAGAGTTTGGGGCTTTCCCTGTGCTCCCAGTCAGAGCTGTGAAATGCTATAATGTTCTCTGTCCTAAAGTGAGTCAGCTGCCCAGTAAACCAGCACTGAAACCTGTGTGGTGATCGGTGCTCTGGTTATATTTTTAATAGAGTTGATACCTTGTTCAGTCACAGCAACCATCAACTCTTGTTAGTACACCTTTTTAAACAACCAGGCATCTTTCCCTGTCACCCTGAGATCATTGCCAAAAAGGTTGTGAAAAGCTTCCGGTCTTTTAAGGCATGCATTCTTCGGACCTGGGAACTGGAGAAGGGCCTGGCCTAATTGCAGCCGGCTCTGTGATAAGAGATCCCTATCTGTGACGACCTCAGGACAGAGGAAATACAGCTATGTACTCAGTGGTAAGTAAGGGAATTGAAACAGGACCATGCCTTTGACTAAGCAGGTCACACCCTTCCTAGGTAAGTAAAGGTAAGGTCAAGTGCTGGTCTGTGCTAAGTGCTCACAGTCCATGGTGCCTAACACAAATAAATACAAGCCATAAAGTTTTAAAATCTCATGTTCCCAGGGCTCTGCTATCTGCGCCCCAGATGAGCAGATGGACAGATTGAACTGAACAATATTAGAGCAGGCCCTCTAGCAGGCAGCCCGGGGTTAGCACAGTGCTCTGAGGCAAACTACGCTTGGGGGGAACGGAAAGATGTTTGTGAAATGGTTCCAAACGCCAGCTGCCATGACAGCCTTAATTGGAACCTCAGGTGAGTTTTCCCACAGACCAGCTCCGGAGGATGCTAAGGAATTAACTGGACAACCGTTCCTCTTCCTTTTCTCTGCTTCTCTGTGTCAGGCCCCTAGTCAGGTGGCACCAGGGGACTGTCCCCGAGGTGAGGAATTGCACAAGGGGTTGAGCACTGTGCATAGGAAAGACTGATGGGCTCCCAGGCTTTTATACACAATGCTCAATCACTTCAACGTTGCAATTCTTAGCCCTTAGTCAATGGAAAGGAAGACAGATTGAAACTGCTATTTCTACAGCGGGGACATCAATCTTAGCCTGGCCGGTTGCAGTAGCTACAAGGTCACTGTGCTGGTTATCTGTATCACAGAACTGACCTGTTGAGGAGCCTCCACACCCCCCTCCCCAGACTCTCCTGTTTCCCAGATTCCCAAGGACCAGGTCCCTGTCATCATGGGCACCATATGCCATGGAGAGGCCAAGGCACAGCCAAGATTAAATGCCAAATGTAGGACAGTCGGCCTGGGAGTGCACCCCTGAGCTATCCAGGCTGCTACTGACCTGGGGACTGGTCAAGGCCACATAGACCACCCACCATTTTGAACGTACGATGGAGGTGTTCACGCAAAGCACTCACTTCTTGGAGTAAAGAAGGATCGGTCAGTGGGCTGGCTCCCTGGAACTACCCCATTAGGAGGGGATAGGGTGGCCTCCTCCTCCTGTTCCTGCCTTCCTACCACACTCTGGGAAAGTGGTAGGCACTTGTAAGAGGCTGGGTCCCACCTCATTTTCAGCTCTCTCTGTCCCTAGAGGAAAGTGATGGTGGTTTTCTTTTGCTTCCATAAACCCAGCCCCTGGGCATTTATGTTCACACTGGAGGCTATTGCTTCTGTCCACATTCATGCAGAATCTGTTAACACTCTGTTCCCTCAGCGGGCAGCTTTCAGCTCTCGGTTGTCAACTGAGTCCTAAGCCTTGTGGGCACACCCTGGACAACTTTTGCAGGGACAACGGCCCTCACCTCAGGTGTGGCAGGAAGCCTAAGCTGCAGATCCTTGCAGGCTCAGCTCTGTGCTAATCTCTTCAGGGTTTCACAATTGCTACTTGCTAATATAGTCTTTATCGATGGATCCAAGGAGCCTTAATACAATTCAGAAGCCCCAACTTCAATGAGAAATTCATTTCACTCATGCATAATTCATATGACGATAAGGGTCATATGCATCCTGGGAGGAAGAGGCTGCCTTCCCTCTCACGGCAGGAGCCTGATGCTGCTTAGATCACAGAGGACCACGGCCTTGAAATGAGCCCGTGCACAGCAGCGGGGATACTGGGCCTTTGTCGTTCGCTTCTCTCACAACTCCTTTGCTCATGGTGTTGAAAAGCACTGCCAACCATCTCTCCACCACCCACGGGGGCCCTGGTGACTGGGATGCCCGGGTGCTCACCTGCCACATAGTCGCCAAAGCCCACCGTGGTGAGAGTGACCACCACAAAGTAAATGGACTCCAGGGCCGTCCACCCCTCGATGTATTTGAAAATGACGGCAGGGATCGTCACAAACACAATGCAGCCGGCCAGGATGAACAGGATGGTGGAGATGACCCGGATCTTGGTCTGACTCACTTGCTTTTTCTGGGAACAGCAAAGGAGAACAAGTCAGTTTCATTGCGGAGCCAGGAGACAGAGATACAGAAGAAAATGTGTTCTGTCAGAGGCTTTTTAACAATTGAATTTATTGGGGTGACATTGGTTAATAAAATCATAGAGGTTTCAGGTGTTCAATTCTAAAATATATCATCTGTATATTGTGTGTTCACCATCCCAAGTCTCCTTCCGTCACCCTTTACTCCCCCCCTTTACCCTCTTCTTCTACCTCCCCCTCCCTCCGCCCTTCCCCTGTAATAATCACCGTACTGTTGTCTGTATGAGTTGTTTTTTCTTTTTTGCTTAATCCTTTCCCCTTTTTCACCCTGCCCCGCACCCCCTCCCCTCTGAAAGCTGTCAGTCTGTTCTCTATGAGTCTGTTTCTGTTTTGTTTGTTAGCCAATCTTAACCTTTGCGACAGCATGGATGGACCCGGACAGCATTATGTTAAGTGAAATAAGCCAGTCAGAGAAGGACAAGTACCATATGATTTCACTCATGTGTGGATTCTAATGAGCAAAATTTTCGGTGGCTTTTAACCTCCCTTCGGCCAGGGGCAGCTGTGAGAGAATCTGATGAAAGCCGTGGACCTTCTCTTACAAAAATGCACACGCAGGTGTTTTCAGGTGTTCTGGGTGCTTCCCAGGCCCCAGGAAGCCGGTTCATGGACTCGACCATGGAACCCCGCTGGGCTCAGACCTCAGCTGCCCTCTGCATGGCTCATGAGTGCAGTCAGGCGTTGGTCTTCCCTCCTCACTGATGGAAAATGTAATGATCTCCTAAGAGGGGCTTGCTGCCAGTCTTCATGGCGGCCGGTTTTGGGGCTCTCCACAGTGCTGGTGAGGGTCTCTCCCTGGTTTCCCTTGCATCAAAGGGATGATGCTGCCCTAACCGGTTTGGCTCAGTGGATAAACAAAAAACCCAAACCAAACACAACACCAAAAAAACTGACCTGAAAACAGGCCAGAATGTTGGGCTGAAGATGCTGCTAACCTCCCACCCCCTCTAAAAAAACCACACAAAACAAAACACAACACCATAAAAACTGACCTGTAACAGGCCAGAATGTTGGGCTGAAGAGAAAAAACACAGCCATCCCCACTCACATTTGTGACAGACCCTAGGCAAGTCTCTGTGTGTGTCCTCACCCTTCTTCCCCGGCTGAGGTCGGACAGTTATACTTTTCCTTTAAATACACGTGTCTAAGCTGTGCTGTGGTCATCGTGTTTGCTGCTGTATCGCCCACAAGGGTCAGGGCAGGAGTTGAAGTCATGATGGCAGGGTCCCTGTCTGAAATGGGTAGCAGGCATGTCAGCTCACATCAGCTTTTGAAGGAGTCAATAGTGAAGAGGTCGAAGTGCATTTGGAAGGGGAAGGACACTGATGGAGGCCAGAGGTGGGTTAGAGGCATCAGTGGTGGTCCCCTTGAATGCATACTCGACAACCTTGGCATTGCCTCCAAGCTGAATGATCCCGAAGGTCTCAAAGCTGCCAGAACTGGCACCAGAGACTGTCTTCGGGAGACCCTAGTATAATCACCTCACCAAAACAATATGCCGTCATAAATCTATAGCGAACACCAGAATGCCCAGGCCTTGCCACACTGCCTGGATTGATTTTCTGCAGAAGTCCACCACGTGGAGGGCAGTCGGTGCAGGAAATCCTTACCAGGTGATCTTTTTTCCAGCCATTGCCTCCCAGTAAATTAGGAGGCAGACGGCTCAGAGTGCAGGGACCCGTGCACTCAGAAACCTCACTTCCAGATGCAAAAACAGAAGCTGAAGGGGTGAAGGGGCTTGCATAGATGCTGCTGCTAATTAAGGGCAGAGCTGAGAAGAGGATTCTGAGGTGATTAACTCAGTCCAGGGAGTAAGGAAAAGAGTCCAGAAACAGCTTTTCAAGTCATTCAACAGCTCACCAGCTCAAACAAAGTTGCCAGAGTCGTCCCCTAACAACAGAAACCAGACTAGCCTCCACGAGGAAGAGGCCACCCGGTTCCCTTCTGGGAAGGAAGATGGAGAATACAAAGTTGTGGCTGGACCGCCTGCTCAGGAATTCCGAAGCTTCCGGCCCGGCAGCGACACCTGGGCCAGGTTTCCCAGGACAGACATGGGTAAGAGATCCTCCTACCATCGGCCACGTGGCTCCACCCCAGAATGACAGCCAAGGAAATGACGAGGTCTCAGAGCCGGGAAGGCTGATTAGGGTTCTGTGTCCTTCCTCCCATCCCCCTCTTCCTCGCTGATTTTTGGGGAGAAACATCGGTGCTGCCTCTTCACTGGAAAGCTCCAATGAACAAGAGCTGAAGACGGGGGGAGCTGCGCACGCCTGTAATTAACTCCCCCGCAAAAGCAGCCCCACTTGACTGGGGTCCCGAGTCCCAGGTATAGTCAACATAGCAGAATGGAGAGGGCAATGAAATGAGTAAGAACAGTTGTAGTGGAGAATATTATCTGCACCAATCTAAGTCAGCACTATTTACGCTCCAGTTCCCGGATCAATATATATTCCCTAAACATGCATAAGAAAAGCTACAAAACTACAATCCTTCTTTATAAAAAAAAAAGTCATGTGCCCTAACTCCCCAGGGGACACTCAGTATGTAGAACAGGGAACAATAATTGGGTTCGTGCCCATCCCTCAGAAAAGCCATCTGGGAAAAAAAAGATATTTTATTGATATTTTCGAAACTGTACATGAAATACCATTTTCCCCCACAAATAAAAGTATCATGTCAGGATAAATTACCTGAGAACCCCAGGGAATGTTTCACCCGTTGTATGAATTTCCATATTGGCTATTATAGGAGGACTCGGTGGGGGCAGCTGAGCCCCTCTGAGAATCCAGGAAGGTAGTTATGATTAGCCTAGTTTTGTTTGCAGACATGAGCAAAAATCCAGAGCCCCAAAAGAGATCTTACCAGAGGTTAATTAACTGCTGGCAATGGGAACACCATTCCCCGCCCCACTTATAAGTCGTCCTCCTCAAACGCATAATGAAATTAAAGCGAATTAAATGTTTGTGAGACACCTGTTAAGTCATAAATTAGGATGTGAATGCAACTGCAGATGAAATGAGGCGGAGGTTGGGGAAGGAGGGCTGCAAGCCTGGAGGAAGCTGGAGACACTCTTAGGCTCCAGGATGTGGGCAGAGGGATGGGCTTGGTCTGGTGGCAGACAGGGCGGTGTGTAACAAAGCCTAGACTGTCTGCTGGAGAGTTTCTGAGCCGGGTACACGTGTCAGCACTGCTCACTGCCCAAGCCAACCAGTGCGTCTGTGCCTGGGCGGCTTCCTCCAGACACAGTGGGGTGATGCTCAGAGGCTTGGAGAATTTAATCACTGGGGTATTTTAGGGACTTAAGAAATCAAGTGTCTGGCGTGTGTGTGTGTGTGTGTGTGTGTGTGTGTGTGTGTGTGTGTGAAAATGTGAATACCCATACTTCAGTATAAAAGGAAGAGGTGTGGGTGTAGGGTTTTTAGCAATATATGTTATTCTAGATACTTGTGTCTTTTCTGCCCTCTAGATATTTTTTTAAAAAGTTGCTTTATTTGAACATTTGAAACGGTGGCTTTCAGGATAGAATCGTAGACTATCTTATATTTCATTCGGCGATCTTGGGCTTCTTAGTCTGGTTGGCCCTGCAACTGTTAGATATACTGTAAAGTGGTGTTTGAGGACCTGGAGTCTAGGGGCAGACTGCCTGCCTAGACACATCCCGTCCCCACTGCTAAACAGCTGAGCGATCTCCGACAAGTGTCTCAACTCCTCTGTGCACCTTATCTCTGTGGAGAAAGAGGCTCCACCTCATAGGACAGTTTGGAAGATTACATAAGTGTGTCAACCCTCAGCACAGTGCTCGATAAGTGCTCAATGATCGCTAATGACTGTTTTTATTTTTTGTTAAACCTCACCTGAGATTATTTTTCCCATTGATTTTTTAGGCTGAATGAGAGAGAAAGAGAGAGAGAGAGAGAGAAAGAGAGAGAGAGAGAGAGAGAGAGAGAGATGACATGTGAGAGACATATCAATTGGTTGCCTCCGGCACTCTCCCCAACCGGGTCTGGGGATCAAATCTACAACCTAGGTTTGTGACCTTGACTAGGGATCAAAACTATCACCCTTTGGTATGTGGGTTGGCGCTCTAACCACTGAGCACACCAGCCAGGGCAACTGGTTTTTTTTTTATGTCAAAGTTCAAATATTTCCTTTGATGTGGACAGTCCCAGACTGGATGCTGCCCTTTGCTATTTAGGCACGTTCCCTCAGGGCTGGCTTAAGATCATCTTTGTTTAGCTTAGGAGGTCACTGTTGGTCGTCCCGTCCTGGATACACTTTCTCACGTAATTACTTCATTTTCAATAAGAGAAAAGTCTTCATTGGTTCTTCTATGCTGACTCCAGAACGAGCTGCCAGATGGTTTTAGCTCACGTTCTTGAAAGCAGTTTTTATTTGCCTTTCAATTAATTTCCCCCTAGAGCTTGATCATCCTTCTGAAACTGCCAAGAATTGCGGATAATGTTGGTGACATCAGGAACCTGCGGCAGAGGGACCTGAGAGGCGGGCGTGGCTTTCCTCGCCCCGCCCCCACCTCTCCCAACACTTAGGGAATCAAGCTGTGTTTCCAAGGTGGGGTTGCTAGGCAAAATCTCATTGCTTATTTACCAGTAAGCAGAGCCACTGGCAAAAACCTTGGGAGAGTCCAGATCTGACTGAGCTAATGTGTTCTTGGACTGACAAAATTGTTATCCCAGAAAAGATGGTTTGATACAATATTTGGGCAGAAGTGATAGGATTGTTGTGCGTATCTGTCCAAATCTTGTTTTCCCACTTTGTTGATTAGATGTTTTCTTCCCGTCTCCTTGTGCAAACAGTAGTATGCAAAACTATTTCCTGTGTCTCATTGATGTTAACTGTAGGAATTTTTGAAGAACTCGAAACCTGCCTTCTGTGGGGTTCATTGAATTCTCAAAATTACACATGCAATTAT